CTTTAACTCCTTGCAGTATGGTTTTGAGTTCATAACATATACCTAATTATAATAAAAAATTTATATCATGGTGTTCTTGCTTTCTTAATATTAGAGCAGCTTTTATTTTTAGCATTTACGATGTGCCAGACACATGCTATATGCTACATGCTTATGAATTACGAATTATTATTGTTACTGTTATCCAAAACTAGTTAGGCATTTACAAAGCGGAAACTGTGCTTCAGTTAAGAAACTCTCCCTTACTTACAGCTCCAGTATCTATCAAGTCCAGGATTTGAATCTTGCTCAAAAATCAATACTCTAACCACTCTGCCATCTGTGCTGCCCGTGAATTTTATCTGGTTATCTCAGGACTATGACAATGAACATGACCTAAAACATACTAGATTCACGTCAGTCTTTCCCATTTCTATATAAAAAGACTTAACAAATACAAGAACTGTCCAGGAAAGGTCTTTATGATCTTTAGACAGGGCTGAACTTCTTGGAAGTTAAGGGGCCGTCTCACTGTACTTGCTTCTTCAACTTTCCTCTATCTGTGCAAAGTCTAAAGTGTGATCAGCTGGCTCAGGAGATTGAGAGAATATAAATAAATGCTGTCTCACCCCAAGCCCACCGTGGTTACTAGCAAGACAAGGAAGAACCAATGGACAAGTCGAGAACTGGTATCTTAGGAGGTCAGTGGGGATAGTCTTTGTGCACTAATTTCCTCCTTAAATTCAAAGGAGTTATCTCTATAAGCCCCTTGCCCCTAAATACTCATGCCATACCAGCCTGTAGTAAAGGTACCCACTATTCCTGAGAGCCTTAACTGACACTGTGCTAGGGACTTACCATAGATGATTTTTTGCCTCACAACAACTCACAAAGAACCACTAAAGTCAGCTAATAAGCCACATTACCGAGATTCATGCTTGGTATCCACTTGACCCCAAAGATCTGTGCTATGGAGTGTCCCAAAATACCTGAATGAAGAGAAAAACGCATTAGCTATCAATAGTGATGCCCACTGAAGAAGTATAGGAAATAGGCAAAAATGTGCTTTTATCTGGATGACTACTATTGTGATTTGTCTGTGCATCAGACACATAATGTATCATAATATATAGCTGGCATGTTCCTTAGTAACAAATTCCAGATCAAGACCTAATATATGTGATGTGTGCCTCAGGCATGAAGGTAGGTCAAGTAGAAATGTACACAGATACCATATGAGGCATTACTTCATTCTGATGAAGCATAAAGAATTCATAACAAAAAACCAAAGCCAGGGAACTAGAAAGAAAAAACCAACCAAACAAACCAGGCCATGAATATTCATTCTAATCATTGTACAGTAATCAATTGGCAGGATGCACAGCAAGAACAATATGAAATCTGGGGCTACAGATTGCAGAACTGAAAAAATCATCATTTTTAAATGACATAACCAAATATAATACATTTTCTTTTCAGGAAGAAAATTCATTTTTTGTTCCCTAGTGGAATAAATATAAGGAAAAAATACAAGAAAAGCCAAAATTAGACGAGGTGTCAGCTCCTACAAATACAGGTCAAGAAAAGCATTACTCACATAATTTGATTATACAATTTGGCTATTCACTACCTTGTTTATTTAAAACAAAAATGTGAGTTTAGCAAATTTCCCAATATTTTATATAGTGCAGTGGGCTTTTTAAAAATATGCAATGAATTAATCATTTTACTAATGGAAAGGTTTAATGAATTTTCTGGTTACTTTTTGAGTTTATCTTTCATAATATCAAGTACGATGTTTTGGTAGTTTAAATTGTAAGGGTAAGGCTTCAATTAATTGTTATCAGAAAACAAAATGCCAGTCAGGATGAAAACCTCAAAACAAACAAAACTAGAAACTACCATGATCAAAGATGTAAAATAGAGTAACCATAGTAATGCTTATTTAAACTGACTGCTAATTGAACATTTTTGGTAATCAACATCAGATATTTGCTGCATCTTTTTCAGAACTGTTCTGTTATCACTTCATTCTTCTAAACTTGACACCTTTAACAAAAGGACATATAAAAGTACGTAGTAATATGAAAGATCTCAGCAGCAATGCTCCACAAACTGCCTGTGTAAGCACAAGTGTGTGCGCGCACATAGGCACAGGTCGTAGTGTGTAAGCGCATGTGCGCATGCGCACACAGGCACGGGTAGTAGCGTGTAAGTGCACGTGCGTGTACATACAGACACAGGTCATATGCCAGACCTAAAATGGCTGAGCTGCAGCCTGTTGTTACTTGGTAAGCAAACGGTATCTCCTGGGCCTCAGAGTCATCTAAACAGTGACAGATATGTCCCTTCAGCAGTAGGCATGGCCAGGGCAAGTGATAAAGGGCATGTTTTAACCTTTTCCAATACTCCATATTTTTATTTTAAGTCAGTTGCCTCTTGATTTTATCCTCAGTTAAATTTAGACTTTTGGGGAAATAGCTTTTGCAAAGCTGCATTTATTCTTTTGGGAAAGAAGAGGTAGAAACAAGCTGGAGACTGAAACATAGCCCTGTTTCAACTAAGTCGCTGTGGTGTGTCTACTCTGTCCTGGTGCGGCTCCCCAGGTGCTCTCAGTCTCCCTTTCTCTCATTAAACACAGGCAGTTAATTAGCCCCAGCCTGTGCCCTCCCCTTTTTTTCTACCCCTTTTGCAACAGTAATGATGTCAAATTGCCGGCAGCCATGGGTTACTGCAAAGCAACATCAGCGCAAATCTCTGTCACCAGCAGCAAAGCCAGCCACGAACCTTCAAATCTCAAATAGCTAGAATGATGCTCAGTCTGCTTGAAAATACCATTCAGTATAAAGATACAGTACTTTATATCAACCAATATATACCCTTGAATTAAAAGAAAATTTTTCCTGTCTCTCTGGTGACTGTACTCCTGGTAGCATAAAGATCAACATTTTAAAGGAAGAAATCGCTTGAGATGTGGGAAAACACATGATAAAAGGGAATCTTTTATTTATTATTTAACGCATTGAAATGATGATTGGCTGTCTCTCAGAGAAGGAGGGGCTTCTAATTCTATGCGATGAGCAGCATAAAATTTCATAAAGAGCCACAGAAGAGCTCCTGAATTAAAAACCTCTTCAGCATTTCACAGCAGGCTTGAATAAAGAGCAGAGCTCTTAAATACTACATGGAAACAACTATTTAAGAATATCACCTGATGGAATACATCTTCTCCCTTAAATATATGGAATCTTTACTGAAAAGGAAACCCGTGGTACTTCATCATTAACCCTGGAGTCGTTACTCTACACTGGCTGGTCGTTTCAGCACTGACTCTTTAACAACCCGGCATTAATTTTTGAATGAAGATATAGGTATCTGAACGTGTGCATGTCGGTTTGAATTACTGGTATTCATACATACCTTAGTGCCTCTGTAATCCTTACAGAATTTATGTTACGCATAATTTTAATGTTTTAAGGGACCATCTGTTCATACACACGGTGCATGTAACATACCCCTACAAGTAGAAACCCACTGAGCCAACACGTTTTGCTGTGACAGGTAAACAGAGGGACTTAAGTTCAGCACAAAAGGAATGAAAAACTTCCCAGCCAGCAATTTAAAAAATATACGCATACAATAGCATTAAATTAAATCAGAGGTAAATATATCTTGTGATTATTTTATTCATTCAATTGACCCAGTTTTACCCAAAGAAAAATGCATTCTTAGGTTCTGAATTGTAATTTACTTTGTCTGAACAGTAAGTTGTTTTTTTTTTAACCAGGTTCTGAATGTTACCCCCAATACAAATGAATGGAAGCACTTCATTCTCTACAGCTGACTTGTGGCTCATGCAGCTGTAAATAAGCCTCGGTTCTAATCCATGCCCGTCTAGTCCTACTTAGTGAAGCGGGACAGCGATCTCCCCATTGTCTCTAGCAGCGCCGCATGCTAAGGAAAAGGCTGCGCGTCTATGGCTACTTCCTAGACACCTTCCAGCATAGCGCTTCTTTTTTAAAGAGCTCTTCTGTGTGTTTCCATTCCACCCTTATTTCCATGTCCTATTGTCCATATAAATTCCCAAAGAAAGACCTTTCACACAACTATCCCTAATCCTGGAAACCATTAACTGTTTTCCAAACCTACAAGTCCTCCAAAGAATCCTTTGAAAACCCTTTCATGCACGTATTTTTCAATTTAATATACCTCCGTTCAAGGCAGAATAGCTTTCAAGACATTCCTCTCTAGCATCCTCCACGCACACAGCCCGGGAGACAGCTGCCAGTAATAAGGAACGAAGCGAAGGAGCAAATGCCCCAGAAACCCCCACGCGAGGCAGATCAGCGCTGGACGCCAGGTGCCCTCCGCCGTCCCTGCTCCAGGCGGGCGGCCGCAGCGGAGGGGGAAGGGGACGCGGGCTGAGCTGCACCCCAGGCCCACTGCGGCCCGCAGCTCCCACCTTCTTGCAAAGGCAGTCGACGCTGCGGCTCCCCGACTTTACGTCTCTACCAGTGAGGCTGAGCCCCGAGCCGCGGAGCGGGTGCCTCGCAGCGCCGGGCTCGCAGCCTGGGGCCGCCGACCCGAGCGCCGCCGGGAGGCTGCGCCCACACCCAGCTCTTTGTTGCCCCTCGCGTTGCTGCGGCTGCATTTGCGGAAGGGGGACGCGGAGGGCGGGGACGGCGGCTCCAGCGCCCGCGGCGGTGCGCACGGCCGCCGCCGGATCTCCCGGAGTGACCGAGGCGGTGGAGCGCCCGGAGGCCCCAGGGCCTCAGCCAGACCCCGACAGCGACCGGGGGCCCTGCGCCCTGCCCGGCGCCGCAGCGGGCTTTGTGCCAATAAGGAGGCGCAGGCGACTATCGATCAGCATCATCTGTTCCCGGAGCGCGCGCCCCGGCTGCCGGCGCGGACCCCGCGCGTGGCCAAGGCGGGACGTGACAATGGCCCGGAGCGGGCGCCGGGGAGAGGCCGCAGTGGCTCGGCAGGCCCCTGGCGGACGGCCGCGCGGGCCGGGCACTCACCGCGGTCTTGACCGGCACGTACAGCAGCGGCCTGGCACCGCCCCCGCGGCCCTCGTCCGGCGGGCCCAGCTGGAAGCCCTTGGACTTGACCCAGAACTTAAATTTGGCGTTGTCCGTGGAGCTGGACTCGGAGCCGTTGAGGAGCTGGACGATGCGCTCGTATTTCCTGCGGGTCACCGTCTTGGTCTTGCCCGAGTCCCCGTACGTCCTGAGGCACCAGTCCTGGAACTGGCGGTACATGTCGCGCTCGCTCTCCATGTGCCGCTCGCGGCCGCCCGCCAGCTGCGCGCGCTCTGCGCACCTGTCCCCGGGCCGGGAGAGCGGCGGCCCCGCCGGAGCCCGCGGGGGCGGGGGCGGGGGCGGGTCGGGAGGGGGCGGGGGTCCGGCCGGCGCGGCGGGCGGTCCCGTGCCGCCGGGTCCCGGGCTCTCCAAACGGCCTCAGCCGCGTCGCGCTCTTCTCGGCGTCCTCGCGATGGGCCTCTATCGCCGTGCGGCCGGGACCTTCCCAACAGCATCCGGCTCGCAGGGCTGGGCTGCGGCGTTAAGACCCCGCGCCCGGGGCGCTGGAAGCCCGATGCTGACGGCAGGTGGGCCCGCGCAGCGCCCGGGCTGGGTCCGCAGGACGGGCGCGGCGCTGCGCCGCCCCCGCGCCCTCCCCGCTGAGTCCAGGGCCAGCGCTGCGCCCTGGAGGCCGCGCCGAGCGCCTGCGAGCCCCGACGGGCACTGGCCGGCTCCGCTGCCTCCAGGGTCCACCCGCTCCGGTGTCTCGAGCGCGGCCGCTAGGCGACTGCGGAGGGAAAGTTCTCACCGGTCACGCTGTCAAGCCCATCAAAGCCCCGCTGCACGGGACAACATTAAGGCATTTTTAAAACGGCTTAAAATGTCATTTCTTCAGATGCGTTCAGGCTGAATTCCCGCCGGCAGATAGGTTCCAGGAGTTCAGTTCCAGAACTGGCCGAGCATCCGTGGAGATGCGGCGTGGCTCTGCAGGACGGACAGTGGTCCCCAGACAGACACCCGGGCCAGGGGCCGTGGGCGCACCCCCCAGGCCGCCGCTGGGTCCCCGGTCCCCACACAGGACTCTGCGGCTCTCTTCAACTGGGTACAAGGCAGCGAAGTTTATGATACAGATGCTTAAAACCGTGAAAATAAAATGCAGCAAGATTCATTTCCCTTGGCTCGGTTAGGTGGCCTTTCACGCAGTCGGTTTCGGACGTCTAGCCGGCCGCCGCGTCACGGACCCTGCGCGGCCAGGGTGAGTTCCTCTGGACGATGCGCTGGGGCGACCCGCTCCAGCGGCTGCTCCATCCAGGACTCCCACCCGCCTGCTACCGAGCTGGGCACCGGGGCGCCCCCATCCTCCGCGCGCGGCGCCTGCGGCCGCTCCTCTTTATTTTCCCCTCCGCCGAGGCCGGCGCCCCGCGTCCGAGCCCACCCCGTCCGTCGCTGCCGTCCGCAGGACCGAAGCCCGGGAACGCCGGGGTCGACCCTCGGCGCCGCAGCGAGTCCCAGCACGTGCACAGGGCCCGCAGCTCCCGCAGCGCGGGCTGGGCGCGCCCCCGGAGGCCTGTAGCGGCGGAGCGGCCCGCGCGCCAGACCCCTCGCCTCGCGCCTCACCCCGCCCCGCTCGCTCCCCTCTCCGCCTCCCCGCCCGGCCCTTCCGAGCTCTCTGATTGGCCAAGGGGACAAAAGTTTCTGTGGAGACGGCTGGGCGCTGACGTCACGGGCAGAATTGTCCCATTTAGGGATCCCGGGGGCAGTGCGCATGCTGCAGGCTGCAGGTTAGAGGCGGGCGGAGGTAGAAGCGGCCGGGCGGCAGCCAGGTGGCGGAAAGGAGCACTCAGCATCCAGGTGGGGGACGACTCCAGCAGGGTTTCCATGGAGATTCCTCCGGGTCTAGCCTAAAAACAGCAGATCAGCTGACACCATTAGCTCAGGACCTAATTACTGCTTATTGGAGCAACAAATGAAGGAGAGGGCCAGCTGCAGGGAAGAGTTTTACCCCACCCCCAAGCTCCTTTCTACCCTCAGGCGCTCTTGTCCCGGTGAATTCTCATTAACTTGTAAGATAGCTACAACAGCTCCCCTTCTCCAGAGGCCACCCTGACTGCTTTTATTATTATTTTCTTCTTTTGTACCAAAAAATTTTTTTGCTAAAATAAATCAGTTGTCCTGAGCCCTTGAATTTTTACCCAGTAAATATCTATTGGACCAGGAGAGCTGAGAGTCCATCCCCAGCAGGAGCCACGGTTGATGTAATGTAACTGGGGGTGGGGAAAGTGTCACTTGCAGTTTGTTGAACTGGACATTTATCTTTAGGCTTCTCCCATTTTTAAAAAATTGTCAATATCTTAAATACATAAATATTTGGAACAAGCAGTTGGACAGAATATTTAAATCACCCTTTCGGTGTGGTATGCCTCACAGGAATACTCTTTACAAGGGTCCCTCGTGGCATCAGACGCAGAGGATGATTCCAAGTGGCGAGATCTAGATTTTGTTGTATATTGGTCATGTTTCCTATATTCTGGAATTACAGTCGGTCCTAGAGTAGGTCATTCATTCAAGAGTAAGGTTATAACTTACTATTCACAATTTCAAAATTATTTTTGGTAATCTCTTTTATGTGAAATCTCACCCCATCTCATCTACCCACTCAAGTACTTTGAGATCTATAAAGCCCTCCTCCTTGACTACGTAAGTTAAAACAGTCTGTCTCAACTCCTCAAGATAGTGTCTTTCAAACAGTTTTTAAACCTTGCCTCATAGTAAGACGTATTTTACATTGGCATACAGTGCATACATCTGTCCTCCAAAAATTTTAATGAAAAAATAGTTTATTACATGCAATATACACTGATATTTACCATTTTTATCCCATTTATTATTATTATTTATTATTATTATTATTATTATTATTTGGTAGAGTGTGGTCCTAACCCAATAAATTTATTCTATGAGGCAGCACATGATGGCACTTGTAGTTTGGAAAACATTGTTTTATATCATAAGAGCTATATTTCTCCTTGTACTATACTTATATTTTCTTGTTTTCTAAGTAGCTCCAGCACAATGAACAATGTACATAATAAATGCTTAGTAAATAAATGTTGAGTTAATAAAGGAAGGAGAAAGAGAAAAAGGGAAGAAATAAGCAGGTAGGCAGAGTCTTTGTCCACCCCTGGTGGTGGCTTTTGCTGGGTGGTGCTTGAATGGAGTTGGTCCTCATGTAAGGAAATTCCAGGGCCTTCCCACATATAAATGTTCACTAGACTTATGATTATACTTGACACCCTATGGAAATCATAACACTTTAGGCATAAAGAACTCATAGAATACAGGCAAGTATTTCATCAACCCCGCAGCTACATTAATTAAATTTGACATAAAAGCAAAAAAAAAATAAACACAAAAATTAAAACAAATCATACAAGATGCATTTTTTTAGAAGGTAGAGGTAAACCATTAACCATAGACAGCGAACATTCACTGGATTAAAGGACAAGAAAGTCCCAATGTCTTAAGGGCCCAGCATCCCAGAGCCTTGTGGATTCTCAGGTCTCCATGGAGTCCAAGGTGTCCTCCGTTCTGCACATACTCATGATTAATTGTGCAGACTGAGTCGATATCATTTACCATATTTTCTTACTTAAAAGTGTAAACACCTGACAAAACCTAAACCTGCTTCAGCAACTCACCCCAGATTCATTTCTCTCCTTTCAGCCTTTCTAGAACCAGGTCTTCCCAGTTCTGCCTGGAGATCCTTACCAGAACTTTACCTCAGCTGTGTGATTCATGTGACTAGGGTATCTGGAACTGAATCTGGTGTCGCCCAAGACACTTTCTTCAGAACTGCCTCTCTACAGAGCATCTCTCTCCAGAAAATGACTCTTCACCCCCATACCTGAATGCCAGTTCCTAATCCTTGTCCAGGGTCCTGCCTGCTATTTATAGGGAGAGGAAGTCAGAATTGTTACATCATAAAATTGTCTTTTAGTTAAGGATAACCCAAATTTTAAGTGATAGTCAACATGATTTTGTTATGAAATGAAATTTCTTCCAACCTTATGGTCAGTTTATATACGACATTTTTAAAAATATGGAAGAACTTTCATTTTAGTATCAATCGCAAATACTCATCAACACAACACACTCATCAGCAGAATGTTACAGGCAAACAACATACAATCTGTAATCATAAGGGTTCAGAGAAGAAACAAGCCTTCATTTGTCCATCCATGTGATCCTGCTTCCATTCGACAAATATTACTGGGTGCCAATTATTCTGATAGACTCCAGTGTTAAAGCAGTCAATAAATAAGACAGTTGTACATGTATGGTCCTCATCTAATGGAACTTAAATTTTCCTAAAGAAAACAGATAAGAAACAAGGAAATAAATAATTAGCACTTGAGATAAGTGCTAGGAGGGGAAACCTGGTGCTGTAATAGAAAACAGCAGTAGATGGAGGGGCGTGGTGATCCCGGAAACACCACGAGACCTGAAGAATGCAAAGGAGTAGACCATGAGGAGAAGCAGGAAGGCACGTACAGTCACAGTACACGGGTCCTAAGGCAGACACCCTTGGCATGTTGAAAAAACAGAGACCAGTGCAGCTGGAGCTTATGGAGCTTGAAAGAGAGAGATGGAGTATGAAGTGTAAGTAGTCTTCTGCAGCCTGATCTTGTAGGACAGCGCTTGCTATGGTAAGGAGTCTGCATTTTATATTGTCTAGTGGGAAATCAATAAAGGTTTAAAGCAGGAGAATTACACTATTGGATATGCATGTTTCTGTTTCTTTGGATACTTTGAGGAGAAAAGATTGGAATGGGGCAAGCTCAGGAGCAAGAAGACCCCGTAGGAAACCTGCAGTAATTGTAATAGCTTAGGTGAAATATGATGATGATGGATTAGAAAGGTAATGGTTGAGGCAGAGGAAGAAAATGACTCATTAAAGATGTGTTTTAAAGCTAGAAGATGGCTTGCTGGTGGACTGCATGTAGCAAGAGAGGGAAAAGACTGAGTCAAGGATGATCACATGACTTCTGGCTCTAACAGTAAGGCCAGTGAGGCCACTGACTTGGGGAGTTTGAGGAAGAACAGATCGGGAGTCGGAGGCTGGGGTAGGAGCAGAAGCTGGTTGACATGCAGAGGCACAAACAAAGAATTTAATTTCAGAGAAGTTAAATTAGTTGTTGACGTGGGCATTTGAATATAGGAGCTTAAACTTCAGAGAAAAGTCTGGGCTGCAGACATAAACACAAGAAATTTAAAGCCATAGGAATAAATGACATCACCTTTACCCACATTTCTCCACCCCCCAAAAGGGAAAGCTTCCATCTTTTGATACTGGTTTTGGATA